GCGAAAGAATAGACATGCAAAGCTCAGACCTTAAATGGCGTGCAAGTGCGACCGAAAGCTTCGTACACCTGCTAATGTTTGTAGGCTGATCGCTCCAGGAAGCTACTGGTAAGTCGCAAAGCATATCCCAGCAAGCCTGTGCCGGAGCTTATCCTCCACTGCTCTGACTGTATGCGTGTGTCTTGCCTATGCAAGCTACGGGGCTGTGAAGGACTACGGAATGGGCATCGGAACGGCAGCGATGCTACGGCTTGCTGAGGCCTTGCAACTGAAGCCGGTTTGCCGCCCGTATCTCAGCGCAATTTCTTGAAAACCCCTCGCCGCCATCGCCCACGACTACGACGTCTTCAGTCCCCGAGCCCGAGCCGGATCATCACCCGGGACATCATAATACCAAGCAAACGGCCAAAAAAGGCTGCCAAGGATGATTGAAACTCCGTCAAGAAGGCAACCAAGGAAGCCTGGAAGAAGGGCACGAGAACGGTGATGGGATTTTGCAAGACATTTCCGAGATGCTGCGACCTTACGACAGAAGCCCTAGAGAAGCTCTTTCAACTGTTGGCGAAGCTCGCGGAGAAAACTGGAGAGATGTCCTCTGTGGAATGCACGGAGGTAGCCTGTGGGTCTGCTGTGTGCGGAGTAGTCTGAAGATCCGGCTGCTGATATTTGTGCTGTTGCCGTTGTCACTGCCACCGAGATGCCTTCCCCATAGTCACAAGCTCACGGAGATGGGAGTCGAATCTTTTGTGAAGCTGAGCAGAAGAGAAGGTACGTGCAAATCAGGCAGAAATCACCCGCATCAGCAGGGGACAGCATGAAGCACCATGCTGGGTCTTGGGATTTTCCAGTCATTTGAAGAAGCGAGGAAGCTGTGGTCAAGTTTTCCTCCTGGCTGCAGCTTGCCTTGTCTGCAGCACACTCTGTTTGCAAGAAGAGACGGCGGAAACGGTTGCACACAGGTCCGTCGTTCGCCCCGTGCTCACTTCAACCCTTAACCCGCTGGCGGAGGCATATTTTGGAGTCGGCAATTTTATCACAGGCTCTTCCTTGGACTTCCATTGCATCGAAACACTCGCTGCACGGTTCCACGTTCTGACATTTTTCTGCACTTGCAAACCTGAAAAAACTGACACAGAGGTGAACCAAACCGGATCCTGCTATTCACTTGCTCTGTTCTATCATTTTGTGGGGCAAATTTCTCGACTGTTTCAAGCCCATTTCAAGCTTGTTCTTAAACTGGAGCTCGAGGTACACTCACAAACTCATAAAATGCAGCAGTGCATCTGATCCAGCAACTCACTGTCAAACTGAATGGGCCGCAAGATGAGATCCTGACAGGCACGTTCAGGAGCCTTCTTTGGGCATTCGATGAACATTCGATGTGCTCTTGGCCAAGGCAGAGTGCATGGCACCTCCAGAGACTTATCGAGGCCAAGCAGCAATCGTTGAGCTGACGATGAGAAAAACATCGAACTTGATCCAGTTACCTCGGCGTGAAGCCAGGCACCCATGAGCATGAGAGCCCAACCTCCTGATCCCGATCCCGATATGCTTGACGAGTGCATGCATTTTGCAATCAAGCCGAACATCGTTGACAGAAAGGCTGTGGTCTATGACGCATTCGAGAAGCTATGCCCAACAGTGTTTGCTGGTTGAGCTGCTTTTGATGACTGTCCATCCATAAACATAGTATCGCAAGCCGAACCTGAGAATCGCAAGCGACGTCGGGATGCCTGAGAAAGTAACGGCTTCACTGATTCACGCTGATGTTATATCTACAGCGGGACACATGCTTTACAAGGCTACCGAACGTGCAAACATGAATGGGAAGCTATGCATCTCGACCTGAAATCTTCGAGTCTCGGTCCTACAAGGCTCAGTGGCCCGGTCATTTCCGCTGAGTGGCTCAACAACGTAGATGGCAAAGAACACGTTATCCACGACGGAGAGCCATGTGGGAATCCTAACGCACGACTTTCTCAGGCCATCTCCGGCAGGGCTCTCGGAACCCTACGTAGTAGCGCTTAGGGCTTAGGGCACAAACCGAAGCGACTCGCAGGAAGGGCCGGAGGCGCCTGGGCCGGAACACTCGGATGGCTTGAATAGAAACAGGGATGCTTGATTTGTTCGTTGAAACATTGCGCAACCCGGATTACGGAAATCATAGATGGCACACAAGCGAGCCCGAAAGTTTCAAGCAGCACGGGAATGAGCAAGCCCGTCCCGTGGGATCCCGTGGGCATATCTCCGCGCCCTGGACATGCGACTGCACCGTAGGACATCAAACTGCAGGTTCGCTCATCCGGCTTTCTCGACTGCGAGTATGATGGATCCCTGCTTCAGCTGAGGCTGCAACATTCCAGCGAGGCGTAATGGGTTTCCTTGGTACAAGTATTCAGAGAGACATAGAGAGACAGAGAGAGAGAGGGCGAGAGAGAGACGGAGAGGGGGATAGAGAGTGGCGCGAGCACGAGCAGTGCCATCAAAGAAAAGAAACTGCGGGCGAGGCGCGAGGCCGATGGTAACGGCATTCGCGATGATCACGACGCCCACAGCCGAGTCGAAGCCTACCCAAACCCTAACCCATCCTAAACCCCTAAACCAAGATCGTAAGAGCGGTTTGACTTAACGGCCGCTGGAAGCCTGCCTGACCAGGATATCCAGTTGTGCATGACCTCAGCACCACAGAACTTCCATGTCTTGACACAAAGTCCTTGCTGCCACGGTGACGGCAAGTCTGGGTCCAGCGAAGTTTAAAATCCCAATTGTATAATCTATATATATATATATATATATATATGGTTTTGTAAAACACAACTCCAAGTCCGGGCAGAAATTGCTTGCGCTGTGCAGTCCGCAATCGCGGAAACTAGCTCTCCCGCCTGGCGCCGTGCGTCCAAGCTCTGCATGTCCATCCTCATTGCCTTCATCACCTCACCACGCAACAACACAACAGGAAGGAGCCTTACTAACCCTGTTCGCAAGCTCGAGACCACGGCAAGCACTAACAAAACATGTTAACAACAAGCTGAACACCCTAAAGCCTAAACCCCTAAACCCTGTACCCCTAAACCCCTAAACCCCTAAACCCTGCACCCCTGAACCCTAGACCCTAAACCCTGTACCCCTAAACCCCTAAACCCTGCACTCCTGAACCCTAGACCCTAAACCCCAAAAGCCAGAATCCTCAAACGAGCGCAAAAACCGCTCCCCGGGCCTGAACGGCCTTGGTACCGAGCTGCTCCTCCTCAGCGCGGAGGGCCTTTCCAAAGCTGGGGAGATCTTTTACTATAGGGTTTAGGGGTTTAGGGTTTAGGGTTACAGAACATAATGGAGTAGAGTAGAATAAGATAGGAAAGAATTCACCTATTTTATGAGTCGCCGCAAATGTAGGCCAAATTTGCTGCTGCTACGTCTGCTCCCCTTCCTCCTCATACTACTCCTTTTGCCGCTGCTTGCGATGCTGCTTTCGCTGCTGCTGCTGCCGCCGCCATCGCCTACTAGTAAGGATCTTACTAGTAGTATTTCTGTCTGCGGACATCCGAAGACCGTTCTTGTCTGCCAGATGATGGATGATGAGTGTGCAAAGACTGCGTTTGCATTTCAGGCAAAGCTATCTCAACAACGGGTACCCGAACGGCATCAAATCGCGAACTCGAAGCCACGTCCAACTCGCAGCCAGGAAGAAACTGCTTGACAATGCTTTTGGCCTCCTCGTAGGCTTCTGCCTTCCGTGCCTCGTCTTCCATTACCGCTCTCCTGCGTTGAGAGAAGTCTGTGAGCTCTCGTGTCAAAATGTGCCCTTCAGTTCCGAAGGAGCCACTCGCGCACATGGACATGTCATGGTCGAGTCCTCTCTTTGAAGAGGTCCGGGACCACTTGCTCTGCATGGTCACCAGACCCCTGGGACCTGGGGCAACAAGGATAAAGCAAGCACAGAAGCGCCAGACCCGATTCGTCCGCATAATCCGTCCTTGTGTCGCTGTCGTTATCGATGTTGGACACGGGCTCGGAGGCCTCCAAGACCTCAAAGGCTTCAAGACACCCGGCACGGGAGTTTGAGCCCCGAACCTTGCTGTAGCAGCGTACACGGAGTGAGAAGGTCAGCAAGTCATGTTGGGTATGGTGGTAATATGTAATCATGAGGCACGCACAGATGAGAGTCCCCTTGACTCTCCAGAGCATCCAAACCCTCCCCTCCGTGCCTGGCTATCAGTCGGTCTCTGGTCGTTCCTGTCTCTGTGCAGGTATATGACAGCAAGTGGTACATACACACGATTCTGCTTCTCTGGTACATCTCGGCCTCAAGCGCGACTCTGAAACGAGACTTGCGGGTGGCGGCCTTGCATCTGCATCGCGCGACTCTGCCCAGGCGCCACGCCGCGGTGGCTCCAGCGAGGGCCGGCGGCCTGCGACCTTCGAAGACTCGCCCAGCTCCATCCAGGCACCGGCGTCCCTGGCCTTCAGGCTTCCTAAAACATGGTCCTGCGAAGTTCTGCGGGTCTTCTGTGGGCCGTGCTGACTGGACGGGATCTGCAGAGAGTGCGAGCTTCGTGCCAGGATATGCCAGGGCTGTCTTTCGGACTCCAAACTGCGCGAACCAAAGCTCTGCGCCAAGCCCTGGCCAAGATAAAGCGGGGTACTTGAGGGGCTCCGCTTGCGGTTTTTGAGCTGTCAAAGTTTCTGTGACACATTCGGAGGCTCCGAATCACCTTTTGGTTTTTGCTGAGCTTTGCCTTTGGCGAATGGATCCAGGCAAACACCCCGAGGCTGTACACATCTCCGTGAAACCAGGTGCCACGACGGGTCCAAGGCCTTAGGTTCTTCTTCTCTACCGATTCTTGTAAGGAGACTCCAGGATTGAAACGGGCCAAGAAAACACTTAGCTCCTTTAGTTTGACCTCGGCTCCCTTCTATGGCCATGCTGATCTCTGTACAGTCAGCTCCACGGGACGCATGGGACAGGAAGCTGAACACCTGGTGGCCTAAGTCACAAACGCTCAGACACGCCCCCAACGGCGCTTGGGCTTGGCATCCTTGGCAGAGGCCTGGCAACAGCGCGCACGCCTTTAAACGGCAGGTCTCTGGGCCCAGTAGAACGAGGGAGCCTCTGATGACGCCTCTGGTGGCAGATCCGCGGCAGCTGGCGCTGGAGGCGGATGCGGCATCTGCAGGGGATCCCTGGCAGACGTGATTCGAGGCAACTTTGCGTCCAAAATCCGAAGCCTGCCAACGAATCTTCTGAAGGACTCGTCTGAAGAACACAAATTCTGCCGAGTGACCGCTGTGCAAACGCCGCGTGGTCCCCCAGCGGCCCGTCAACACCGTGCCCAGTTCCAGCCAGGCTCGGGCCTCAATCTTTGTCTTTAGGGGTTATAGTCTCATATACCCCAACCTCCCCACTCCCAACTCAAGGGTTTAGGGTGTCTTTTTGCCATTGGCATGAGTCATGAGCACTGGGTCCTACCGAGAAGCAGGATCCGCGTTTCCTCCATGCGGTTCTCGAGACCCCGGCTCACGCGGGAATAGCCATTCTGATGGAGGGCGGGCTCCTTCAACATGCTCAGGGCTGCACATCTAAGATTCTAGGCATTTTGTGCGGTATGCCAGCTATGCAAGTGGACATCGGGGTCTCTATGAAGCTGCAGCGTGCGAATGGACATCTGGATATGCTCATCAAGTCGTCCAAGTCCCGCGCTGCGCAGCACAAGGCCTGGCACGTTTTGCGTCTGTTCTGGCATGCTGTGGCTAACTCAGGTCCAGCTGTCGTCTCTTGTCACTGCAAGGAAGCAAAATTTCCTGGAGCCATGGAGGAAGACTAACCGCTCTCAGCTCTATTTCTCTACTGACGTCAGTTGTACGCTGATACTCCCAAGCTGGCAAGAAAGCGAACGTGATCTGAACGAGGGCAGCAGGACCTCAAACTGCTCAAACATGAAACAGAGAGAGAGAGAGAGAGAGAGAGAGACAGACGCGGACGTGGAGCCCGTTGCCCATGCAAACACACCGAAGCTCAGAACAGAACGTGCCCACAGCCAGGGCTCTCGGGCCTCTGCGGAATAGGCGGAGGCAAATCGGGGAGCCATCGTCGCAGCTCTGGCCGCCCCGAAGTATGGTGGCAGAACCTTAAAAAAGATCTGCAATACAGGGAGTTGACAACTATATCTGCAGGAACCCTAAGGAAGTGTTGGCAACACTTCAGGGTCCCGGGTATTATCGGAACGATTACCGGCTCTGTAAAAGTTCGTGGTGAGGCTCGAGGGACGAGACTGGATGGAAAAGATCTCTTCGTTCTCAAGATGCACATCCTGATCTGAATGACCTGCCGCAGATGTCTAATGCTGTGCCATGTCACATGGTTTGAAGGATGGTGCTCCAGCGACCCGTCGCGCTTGATGTGCGCGACCACTATGCCTGCCGCAAGTTTCTATCTTCGTGACACTGACGGGGAACCATTGTTCCGCAGTCGGCCAAAGCGTCTCATGCAGCGCAGGCAAGGGCGGAGGCGGTGTTGACTCGGGTGTTTTGGATTGTTGATTGTCGCGGCATACAGGTGGCAGCGGGCTTCAGAGAGTGGACCAGAGTCACTCACTACAGTTTCAGGTTCTGCAAGGTCTCCCCGAAGGAAAAGCCGTTTCCTCATCAACCCTGTTCGTCTTGTGGCGCACCGAAATCCTCCAGTAGTCGCTGCGCCACCACTTGCCGGTGGCACTCGCGCCAATCTGCCTCCAGAGCAACGCTTCTACATACAACACTCTTATATCCTGTATTTGGCCACTACACAACAAAGAAGACATTACACCATGCGCCTTGTGCGTCTTCAACAAGTAGCAGGCCCGGAGAGCCCCGAAACGTTTCGGCGAGCCTCGGCGCACATCATAGCAGTCTTCGGGCCCAGCAGCGTGGCCTTTGCGTCGGGGTTGGGGGTGGGCGGATATGGGGCGGGGGGGTGGTCAGGGATGTTGAGGGTTTAGAGTGGACATAAAAGGCAAGGAACAGGTGCTGCATACAAGAATCAAGAAAAACAACGATTGCAAGACGAACCCAAAGATACACATAAGCGTTCAGTCATACATGCATGCGCACACCCATCACGGATGTGGAGGCACACGCTCATGCCGTACTCAAAGGCCAAGTGTGTAAAATTTGTCCCTCCGCATGCAGATTACGGCTACAGTCATGTTTGACAAAGATGCACCACTAGAAGGCGCAAGCAGAACAAGCCATAAAGGATGATGTGCGAGTAAAGGTTGAACTTGAATAGCACTCTGAGCTACTCATCACAACTACTGTGCCTGCTGCAGCTTCGGGATGTGTTCTCCTTCGCCCTACTTCACAGGACCTCCATGTACCAGTGCCTGGAGCCTGGAGCGAGAACACTTTAGACGGCTTTCCCTACACCCTAAGCCCTCAGTCTTATCCGCAGAATGGCATTCGAGAATGATGCGACAACTGGACTTTGTCGCTGCTTGGTATCTACATTCAAAATGTTTGAACAAGGGTTTGCCCTGGCCCCCGCTAGCAATCGCAATCTGTCCCAGGTGCATCAAGTACCTCTACAGCACGGCTTCTGTAATGCAGATGCTCACCGAAATGCCTAGCCAATGCCGGCAACTCACCCACCCGCCCCCCTGCAATGCACGAACGCCAGCAGGCCTATGTTAAGATCTCATCGACACTGCCTATGTGTGTGGAGTTCCGGGAATCGACCGATAGGTATCAACAAATCTTGGTCGGCATGATGCAAGAAATTCCTAGATTCCGGAATATCCATCAAGTGATGATAAGGGAATAGCAATTACTAATAGGGACTATAAGGGAATGGTATCACGAATAGGGACCCTCAGGGAAGAGCATCTGAACGGTTGATGATATAAATCCTGCATTACCCATAATAAGGAATATACCATAATTCCCATATATTCCCTATTATGATGGGTGCAGGATTTATATCATCACCGAAGGACTCAGCTCCCAGACTTGGCGCGCACTGGAGGCCAGCTTCTCCAGTGCTGCGGCGCCGTCCTTCTTTCGTCGGAAGCGCCGTGCAAGACCAGGTTTTAGGGTTTAGGGAAGGACTTTCTTTCTAGATTATGGTATCCTGCACATCGGAAACTTGTAGCAAAAAGCTACACCGAGCCTGATGTCAACTCAAAAGATCAAGCTCCCGTATCCTCTGTCGCAAGTAGGGCCAGGATGCCACCATCTACCTGGGCAGCGACTTGGGCATGCTTAAGGAGCCAAGGACGGCACGAGTATGCAAAGAATTCCCAAACGACTTGGGCGCGGTCGCGTACCTCATGCGAGAGAACGGTAGCATGCGAAGCACGTCCGTGCTGGCAGCACGACGCAGCACGGCTCTCACGACTCAACCTGCTACTTGGGTCTTTTCTTGCACTTGTCCAATTTCCGGCTGCCTTATGAGTAAATCGAAGGTAGAGCTCGTTGCCTGTAGCTCGTGAGCCTGACTGGAATACTCACGGCCACTGTGAGTCAGACCACGAACGTCCTCGCGCTCCTTGTCTATGGTCAGCAACAGCATATCGCCAACCCAATCCTGTTTACATAATCCCATCTGACATGCTCTGAGCGGCTAAGAAGCCTCTTCAGCTAAGTCGTTCCTCGCATGCCTTGTTGCAGCCTAGACTGGCCTGCTCCGACTCCAGATAAATGCTCTTGGGGAGCCATGCGCCGTCTGAGTCTTTCACATCGGTCCTCTGCAGTTCTACAGGGGGAGTGTTAAATTAATGATAGGGTTGTCAGTCTAAGTAGGACAAAAACCGCTTGTGTACCTTGGCAAGCACAGTTTCTATGTTGCTCACGGAGCCAACCAGCGCTCTGCCGTCATACGGTTCGCAAGACAGAACTCAGGCAAGTTTACCAGGTTTGAGTAAAGACAAAGACATGGCATGGCCTCGCGTCTAAATTCTGGGGCACACGCTCCTTTGTTGCCCAGCTGCGGGCAATGGCCTCCGGTTCTGTAATCTGCCCAAACATTCTATGCACTCTATCAGAAGGATGCAAGACTGCCAGAGAGGGCCTGGTGCCGTCCGGCGGGGGTTTGGGCCTGGGCCCCTGCTGCTCTTGTGTGGGCTTAACCTTCAGCCTGACAAAGCCCATGAATTTTCGTGACATCCACATATGTTCATTAAGGAATTGCCAACCGTCCTCACAGCTTCAATCTCTATTGAGCCACGAAACGGTAGGCAATACCTCGGCGCTGGCACTGCGTTTGAAGCGCGTTCCGCCTCGTGCTGGTACGCGTTGGTGACGGTCACTGAATACATTTTGTCAAGCCATGTGAAGGCACTCCAACGGTCTTGGCATGTGTGGAGATGCTTTTGATCTTTGGAGTGTCAGCCTATCGAACTATGGCCACTTTGGGAAGAAAATCGAACTGGCAGCTGCATGGCACCAGCATCACCTCCTAAAGCATGACTGACACATGCAGCGTATCTGCAGAAGCATGATTTCCTCATGTTTGTGCTCTCGGCCAAGATGCTTGAAGTGCGGGAATTTGCCACTAGAGGGGATGCTGCGCACGTCCACGAGCTCCTCTACAGTGAGGCTCCGGGGACGCGTGGCCCTCATTGCAACATCCAGGAAAAGAGCGTTTTTCACGATTCAGTTGACAACAACTGGAGCAAGCTTCGCCCCTGATTCGAGCGCACCAAATCTCTGTGGGCTTCGCCCAGTCTCGCTCGGCTGTTCTGTCCACTCCGTCTCCTTGACATTGTACTTCTCCAGGAGCTTGAAGAACTGGTCGGCCTCATTGTTGGAGTGGCCCACCGAGAAGAAGCGCCCCGCAAGCCTCAAAAACACAGAACAGGATTTGGGCACTACGACTTGAGGCGAGCACTCTGACTCCCAGGTTTTCTGCGGCTACATCTCTTGCGGGGGAATTTCGTGCAAGAGAGTGCTGTGGCAGGAAGGATACCAACACGGTCTGGACTTTGTTGCACCATGGGTCGAGGGATGCTGCAAAACGCTTTCAATGACCCACGTTGTCTGATCAAGTCTAGTCAGGAACCATCCCTACTGTTCGCATCCTCTGCACTGAAACGAGATCTGATTTGAAGCATGTGTGCTTTATGTCTGAGTGTAAGTCTTCAGTGTGCATGTGTGCACTGCTTTGGTGGTGCATCTTGGAGGGCCGTCTTTTCGCGTGCGGAGCACCCCCGTGCATTCTCTAGGTCTGAATGTCGTGGCAAGGTAAAAAACGTAGTGAACTTCGTAGCTTCTTTTGAGATCACTGCAGAGTTTCAGGCCGAAAAGCTCAGCATCACCGAGGCTAAGAGCTTTCATGGGCCATTTTTGTGTTCTGAAAGAGCAAGTCTCCAAGGAGGCCGACTTCATGTATATACCCGGGGCAGACTGATAGCAGTGCGTCGGCTTTTTGAAGCCATCGAGCGATTTTCATTAATTGCTGTAAGAGTCTTGGTATGATTGCCAGCATGCCCCTACAACTGCGGACATCAGGACATCTTCAACATCAGCATCATCATCGTCGTCGTCATCATTGTCACCATCATGTATACACACATGCATATCACATGGCCAACACATTGGCGAGCCTTTCCAATTCCCCAGTTTGCCCCTTCGACTCCCCGGGGGAAGTCTCCATGCCGCGATGGTGCTTCTGCGTGTCTGCAGATTCTGATGCTGCAGTGCCATGTATTACTTGGACTTAGGTCCGATGCGGTGGACTACTCCTGCTTCAAAGTCTTGAAGGTCTGTGGGTATTGATGCTACTAGTAACTAAGGTGCAAAGCAGATACCGAAACCGGCCGGTAGCAATCTTTTGCGTCGTTGAGCAATCCTGCCTGCAGAAGGGAGCATGCAGGTCAAAGCTAGGAGTGAAGCATTGGACATGAAGTGGGGGGATCAAATGCCCGTGCGTTCATCTGGAGGTATATGGAAACACGTACATGTCGCGACGAAAACTCATGCATCACATCGGCTCAATCTCACGCTCTACTCTTGAGAATCGTGGAAGCTGAAGCCATCAGTCAGCTAGCGTTACTGGTCCGAACGAACGTTTCTGGAAGCATATGCTCCAACTTGGCCCCAAGCCTAAGTGGTTGCTGGTCCCAACTTTCCTTACGGTGTCTATCTATAAGGAATTGGATCTGAACTACCCAGCGCTCCTGTTCTCCTTCGCAGCGTTCGGGCAGGTATGGTCTTTGAAGTCTCTTGAGGTGGCCTGCCCTGCTCGGTCGCAAGCACAAAGTCCCGCACAAGTACCCTGAGCTTGCCCGAAGATCTCATCCCCACTAGCTCGAGTGCACAGAATGCTGCAATTCATACTAGTAGCCGCTGGGAGATGCTAATGATTATGGCTTCTTGGAGATCGATGCTCGCTCAAATGATGGGCAACGGTCCGTGACATTCCGTGAACGCCAGCTTCATACTAGCTAGAGCTTGAACTGTTGATCGTACCTGGATTCCTTCTTGCATGCAAAGGTGAAACATTCGAGCTCCCGTAGTTCCTTGATGTTCCTTGCATGGTGCTGATAGCTCTCTGCAGTCTGTGGCTCTGAATCGCCGACATCAACACACTACTAATCGATGTGGACAGTGGTCAAGAATGGTCGGAAAGAGACTGTGAGCAAGGATGGAGACAGGCAGTCGTATGAATCCATGTAGTGTTTCGGAAAGCGCTTCCGGGAAGCAGGTGCGCAGAGAATCGTAGTGTTGTAGACCAACCAAGACATGAACCTTGGCTTTCGTACACGGAAGGGTGGATACAAAGGATGGCAATGGGTTTGGGCAGCGCAGAGCCCATTTCAAGCACTGGCCCTCGGTCGGAAGCTCGAATCGACGAGGCCAACACCTCGCGGAGCTAGTGCCGAATTATGAAGACGTGGAAAATTCGGAAAGCTGTGAAGCTTTGACGCTGAAGCTTCAGGCTTGGATCGGCTGTACTGGTAGCTTTATGCGAAGCACATCTCGAAGTGAATATCCTCCATGCTACGCTTTGCGTCGCTTGGAGACTAGATTCTGAAATCCGTCTCTCACGCCGGAGCCTCAATATGTCACCTCGCAGGCGTGAGAAGCTCGAGGCATCGTGGGAGCTGCCCTGTGAACCCCGGGTTATCCGTGGCGTGCCGTGGCGTGCCGTGCCGTGCCGCCGCGCCGTGCCTCACTTCAGGAACTGCGAGAGCCACTGGAAAGCCTCCGCGTAGCCCATGCCTCGGCGACGCGGTCTGAGGGTCTCGGCTCCACGGCTGAAGCGACCCGCACGGACCGTGACAGTGAGTGTGACTGTTCTCTACAGCCTCTCACGGGCAATGCCCAAGGCCGAAGGAGGGGGCAAGCTCCTCGCCTTTAGGTTGTGGATGGACGCTCCGATGCCTCTGAGCGCCCCAGCGCTTCACGACGCTGACCATGAAGAGCTCCACAGGGCGAACACTGCTGTCGCCTTTCTTGGCCTCGGGGTATGCGGGAGATATGACAACTTGAGCAGCCCGTGCCCGAAGCTCAGTTGATGTTTGGCACGGCGAATGCCCTCTGAGCCGATACTTGGCACCGTGAGATTTCTGAGGCAATGCCCACCCCAGATCCAACCCGCTTTTGTAAGAACGTCCGAGCCCCGCGCGTCCCGACCGTAGGTCATGTGGCTGAAAAGCCTCAGAAGTGGTGCAAATCCAACAGCGATTACCGCCTCAAAATGAACCAGATCAGGGGAACGAGTGCACTTTGGCAGTAGCCATCCACAGAACCAACAAAGATACTTTCAGGCGGCCTTCAAGGCACAGATCCTTTGTTGCTGAAACATGCTGAAGCCCCGGAGCTTACCTGGGGTTAGTAGGGAATGGAGGAATGGGGTACAATTATAACTACTATTACTACCATTCTTCCATTCTCTACTCACCAAAGGTAAGCGAGATGTGAAGGTCTGCTGGTCCTGAGACTGCAGACCCCAGGGAGTTTCTGAGCTCGTCCTCCGAGGCGGCTGTGGGGATGTCGATCTTGTTGCCCAGCCTCGGGGGAAGCCGCTCAAACCCTTACACAACCTTTTGATATTATGGTAATATGGTATTATAGTATGATAGCAGTATAGTATTGTAGTAGTATAGTATTACATTGTCAAATCTGGATCTTCGGGTTGAAGGAGTGGGCTCCCTATAAGGACTAGTAAACGAGCCACCAGCTAGTTCCACATCCTTCAGTGACTCTGAAAGTAACGCCAAAACATCGCGCAAAGTCTCTGGCACGACGAAGGGAACGCTGGCCAATGCCTTGGTCCCGGGCGCTGGAAAGACCACAGCTCGTACTGGAGCTACCACCGCACGGGACAAGAACCAGAAAATCACCACACCCTTTTCCCGACGCCTGCTCGTTCAGCAGTCCGTTCAGCTCCTCGTTGGCTTCCTGATAACAGAGAGAGAGAGAGAGAGAGAGAGAGAGAGAGAGAGACAGAGAGACAGAGAGACAGAGAGAGAGGGAGACAGAGAGGGAGGGAGGGGGGACGTATTGGCGAAGAAATCCTTTGCAAGATATGTTCAGAGTTCAGATCCCTCCTGGGTTTGATACCTTTGCAGACGTGTGTCTACGCTTTTCTCCACGACTTCAATGCCATAGTTGAAAACCAGAATGCTTTCATCCAACATGCCTGGAAACGGGTACGGTCCGCGGCATCTACGAGGAAGACAATGCCATCCACCTGGGCGCTGCTTTCTTGCACGTTCCGGCTTAAGTAATGGAGGTTCAAGCGGAGCTGGTGCTGTGCGTGGTAGCGAAAACTCTGCCTCTGAACAAGGCTGTGCATAATCCAACTTCCCAGGCAAAACCAGGGCAACGGCCGTGGCAAAGTAGTCCTCCATGTAAGCACTCAACACAGAATCAGTGACTCATCCTCGCGTCGCAAAGGAACCATGGTTCAGGCCCAACCTGTTCTGAAAACTTCACGGATTCTGCTGAAGATCTGGCGCTACATCGTCTCTTCTCCCTGTCCTTCCAAATGCGCCTTGCTGTCTCGTGGCCGCCCAAGTCGTAGGTGCGGAAGCGGATGTTCTTGATCATTAGCTCCTCGGAGCTTTTCTCATACTAGAAAATCGTCGCATGGGGATCAGGATGCTCTGTGGCACGGATCAGTCGAAACAAACATCGCGTGGAGGTGTGGTGCTGTCAGCTCAGAGCCATCGGTCCCAACCTGTGCTGAAGTGCAACAGGACAAGACTTGCAATTCGGCACACTCCTCGGAGTGCGGATGCAGAGTCGGGACGTGCGTGGCGATCCGATCATCCTTGAACACAAGCTGGAGCAGCAACGAACCAACCCTGAACTTAGATAGTCGAATGAACACGGCGAAGCCCTTCAGCATCAGGCTGGAAACAAACAAACGTGGCCTTGAATCCGCATGGCTGAGTCCTTGAGCATGTGGAGGAGGGTTGTTTTGCCGGCGTTGTCAAGTCCTGCGCGGTCATGCCTTACGAAAACTTATCAGAGGCACCAGCTGAGGCGCTGATCCAATCCTACGATCTCCATCCAGCAAGAATTAAGACTTAAGACAGACCATGGAAGCGACCAGCAGCCGTGATTCGGGGGCCTTTACCAAACTGCACTGCTCTGCATCCCTGAGACGGGAAAATCCGTAAGCACGCTTGGACAAAAACTACTACTAATATAGGGGCCTTAATAATCAGAATAGGGTTTCAGGGTATATTATACTATAACTATAGTAGCTGCTGGCACTAAGGCTTCCGCAATCTCTCAACTTGCACCGGCTGGTGATCCTAGGAACAGGATCTTCGCGTTTTTGTTCCCCAGCCCCAGGTAGCCCAGAACATCGAAGAACCTCGAAACGAGCAAAGGCTGTTTGAGGCATGGAGCCCAAAGCAGATGCTCTGAGGATGTATGCTCTTCGGCAGTTTCGGCCGGGGAACCTGCAATCAAACCTGGACCAATTTTTGCAAGGGTTGAGTTGAGCCCATGACCCCTGTCAGACTGAGCATGCTCATGTGTTAGATTGTGAATGGCAGAGCTGTGCTGCGTCGAGGCGGCCAATTCACGATAAACATCTTGTCGTGCTGACCTTGGGCGAGCGCTGATGCGACACGGGCTGGCAACCTCGAACATCAGCTAAGCCCTAAGCTATCGACATGACAAGGCAGGCTGGTGTGCTCCAACCACTGTAAAATCAGCAGAGTTCGCATGCAACGACTTCCCAACCTAGCTGAAACTTGCACCAAGCGCCGGGCAATGGAGAATCAAGGATCGTTCGCACAGGTATCACCCACAACGGGAAGACTGAGCCATTCACTGCAGAAAGCTGCGGACTTCAATCTGTCAAGGCTTAGAGGGAGATTCGTTCCGGGTAGACTTCCCTGCGTACAGATGCAAGCATCTTCCGATTCGCCAAGCTGGCACCCTCTGAGGAATCGCCTTCAAGGATTTTCTGCATCATTATCCTTGGCTAAGAGTATGACCGGCATGAACATCATCGAAGGATGCAAGACGCCACCGCCTTGTGACGGGTTCTTACTAAAGTTCTTACTCGGGCACCTCCAATATCTTGGCACTCATGTGAAATGATGCTCACGCTCAGGGCGATTTACTGACTTGTGACCAGGGTCTGATTGCATGGCACGCCTGAGGACTCAGGAAAGCATCCCAATCATGATGGCAGCAGTGGGGCATTTGGAATAACCCCTTCGCATCCGTGGAGGTAAGCATTAGACAACAACCTCTTGCGCTTCTTTGGCCCAGCTGGACAGCTTCGCCGGATCCAGTGCGGCTTCACTCAGCCACCGCCCTTGCGAGGCTTTTGCTCGTGCACGGGTGGCTGTGAGATGGGGAACGAACTGGGTCCCCTGGACCTGCACCGCCTGCATGCGCACCGCGCGAGGTGTCTCCGTTCGAAGGCAGGTCTGGCACCTCGCGGTCGTCCTGGAGGGTTTATACCGTTGTCAATAGTCACTCTGCAGATCTCTCTAAGGCTTGACACCAAAATTCAGAAACGAGGCTCGATGCAAACCAGTGTCGGGAGCGTGCCCTGCCGGATGATCTTAGGAACTGCAGGAACCGAGGCAAGCCCTCACCAGCAACGTCGACCGCGATGAAACGGCTTGCGTCGGCGCAGCAGCCATGTGGAGTTTCAGCGGCATCCCATTGTACATGTATGTCCGTCCCTTTGGAGTGCTCGTTGTCCTCGGAGGTTGGGCCAGTGGCACCACCACGCAGGATGTCCTTGCTTTGGCTTGCGAGGTCGGATGTTCAAACCCTGCAGTTGCTGTATGATTAACAGTAAACTATTGCTACTGGTAGTAGTATGAAACACAAGAGCAAGAACGACAAGACAAGAACAATAACGAGGAGAAGCCTGACAACAATAATATGGTCAAGTTTGTGCCTCCCCTCCGACTGCTTTCCAAGATGAGCAGGGTGCTTACAATGCCAAGACAAGCTTTCGGATACAACGGATCAGGGACCCTGTCGAGGAGCAGTCTGGCGCAAAGTGCTCTGCATCGGTGTGCCCTTTGACGGCTGCCTGTCATCTACGGACATGACATGCTGGACTTCAACCCAAATTGATTAGAGACAGCTTTCAAGCAAATAACCACCCCTGCCGGAAGCGTGGCACAGCAATGCGATGCGGAAATATGCCGTAATGATCGCCGTAATGCCAGTAGTCAATACTTTCGGTCTCAACTAAAACTCTAGTGCTGTTGACCCCAATGTGCAAACCACGAAGAGCCCGACATTAGCTTCCAAGCGTTCCGACCTTCGACTGCTCAGGGGCCGAGTTCTCCTCTGAGCACGTGCCAAATGCGGGAGGCAAGGGACTGCAGCACCCTCCCGTTCCCCTCAGCCATGTTCCCTCCCTTCTTCTTTCCTCTATTTGGCAGCGGAATGCAGCGGAGAGGCCGCCGAAAGCGTCCCAGGAACTCCTGGACAAAGGAAGTAGGGCGGCCACCCGGAGGTGCTTACGATGCTACACCCGACGTGCCGGCACCCTGTGCCGGGATGTGTCGAGCCGGGATTATGACTCGAAGCTTTCCATCCCGTGACTCCGCCACGCCTCTGCCTCCAAGGACTGCAGCTCCTCAAAGGGATAACTGCAGAAAAGCAGAGCTAGTGACAAAGGTTCATCGCATGAGCTTTGGAAAATGTCTTTGCTGTACCTTCTGATGCTTGCTCGGCATCGACGACTTGATTGGGACTGTCTTACGCGCCAGCCCTTCCCGGCACAGAAACGACTAACAGGCACGAACCTGCCTCAACATCTTGGGCATGGCCCGGACTTCAGATCAGGTTGCATTACATCCTGATCTGAAGTTTGCAGCAAACTGCACCGATGTGTTCCGCTTCATCAGGCGGACAACAGGAAGCATTCACGACTCACACTGATCAGTTTAAGTTTTGGGGTTCTTTGTAAAAGAGGTCTTACAATTACTACCATTGAGGGTTTAGGTTTGAGGTTTCGGGTTCTCTGGCTCCTCCACCGTTCGCTCCCGAAGCTCTTGTGCCATGTCCTCACAAAGCGCGTGAGGTCTGCCCGTCTTTCGGTTTCGGGAGCAGGCTACCGGATCTCGGTAAGTTGCCGAAGGGGCAGGCAGGCATCTAGAGTGTCATCGTGCCCAAGCCAGTGCCTGGAACAGACTGCTCCAAGAGCTTACGCGCCATCTTTTAAACTTCTGGTCCACTGCAGCGCTTCTCCAGGCTATGCTACCTGCGGAGCTTCGGCTTCTTGCCATCAACTTGATCGTACACCCTCGTTAGGCCTTGGGCTGCGCGCCTGAGAGGCTGCAGTCCCAGCCCAAATCCATCGAGGCAACTGCATATATAAGTCTTGTAAAAGCGCTACAGACTGCTGACTAAGCTTTGAAGTATGTGTCAACGCGACGGATCTCGGCTCAGCAGTACTGCTGGAGGGCGACTGACTCTTGATCGATACTCGTGTCATCTCGTGTCTCGTTCCTGGTGTGTTGCGTGCGTCAGACTCCTGTGAAGGACGGAGCATTTCAACGCCTCAACGCAGAACGACATCCCCTTGTCATCAAAGCTTCCCGTTGAAATGCTTCACTTCCTGTCCGCCAGGCACGTCTGTTAAACTCAAGATGTACGAGACCAGTGCAGGACCGGGTCAGGAAAAGGCAGGAACGGGAACGGCTAGGCTTCCTGCAGTAAAGCTTCCAACTGGCAATCCATTGGATGCGCGGGGTCGACTGGATAATCATCTCGCCATGTTCAAGCTACATCGCGCAGCATCCATGGCCAGCAAACGAAGCTTAGGTAGCATTGTGAAAACAGGTGAGACTTCTCTGCGTGTTGCAAGCATCCAAGTGGGAGGATATTGGAGGCGGTGAAAAACCGCTCAGGGATTTCCGGATTGGAAACAAGCAACACTTGAGTTCTGTGAATGATCATCTGTGGATGAAACTCCTGGCCGCTGGCTCCATCGAGATTAACATCTCGGTCGGCCGAAACAAATTACAGCATGCGTACCAAAAGCCTATCCCTAGTCTGATGCTGCACCCGTGTGCACATTTTTTTGAACACGAGATTTAGTATCGGGAGCATGAGATTCTGTTGGCTCGGCAGGTGTGCAGCATCTGTGAGAAATCCGGAAGCAGAACATTCTAGAGCGATAGCGGCCGCCCCTTCAGGAACGACTCCAGCTCAGGCCCATCTTCCAAAGTACTGGTTGCCGGCTGACCATGGACTTCATCTGCGGCAGGTGCACCCTGGGCCTCAGGGTCTGCCTGTGCCTCGAGGTAGCCTGTCAGAATGTTGCGTGCAAAAACACTCCTGCGAGCCCAGTGTTGCAGCTCGTTCTGAGCCCTGTCCGGCGAACTCTCCCGGCTTTGCAAGAGATTCAGCATGGTCTTCTTCAGGCGCATGCGAATCTGCTTGCCCGGCCTCTGGGGGCTGATTTCCAACGTCTGCTTGTGAATGTGACAGAACGGACAAGCGTCCCTGTGGCACCCAGCAGAAGTTGCAAAGAAGATACAGGGATCGCATGAACCCAAAGGGTGTGGCATCGCAGGATCCTCTTCCATGGAAGGTTGAGTCTGATCGTC